AAAATGTTCATCTTTTGCCTAAAGTGTCCCATAAGATGAATTCAAGATGTGCCTAACACAGTTAAAATTCCTCAAACTTTGCTCATTTCATGAAATAGAGTGAATCGATGCATCTGGAACATCAAAATTACTAAAAAAAAGCAATGTGATCGAACATAGTGAAAAAGATAGACAAGAGGCAACATCATACAAATTTGGTTTGAAACATCTCGATCCAAATCAAAATCATCCAATCTTTGCCCATTTTCCAAATGGATTACACCAACATGTCCAAAAAGTTGTAAATACCTAGAAAGAACACTCATATTTCAAACAGAGGTGCTTTCCCAGGCAGTAGTCCCGAACGGTTCAACATTTAAGTCGGTTCAAAGTCTATTGCCACCCAAGAGACAGGTCGGCCCTCCTTAGGGATTGTGATGTAGATTAGAATTTTTTGTTCTCCTTAATATAAATAAGTGTTTGACTTGTTGAGGGCATTTGATTCTGTTTATGATTTTAAAGCTTTGTTTCATCGATTTCCTTTCATATGGAGAGTTGTTATCATGTCTCTTACAAGTGGTATTATTGTATCTTAATTGAGTATAGGTGGTGGTTCCCATTGGTGACCGTTGCTTCATCTTGCCTAATCTACCGGCCCACCCATTCTTTTAGCCTCCTAAGTATAGTTATCGACCTCAAACTTCACCATAGACCTTTATTTTAGATTTCAAATGATATAATTCTCATTACGCACATCTTAATGTCAACCAAGATCTTTAGATATTATCTAGAAAATCCTAGAACGATTTCAATATTGTTCGAGTTGCCGCATGAAAAAAGAACAACAATTGTGTTAAAAACAGAATGAGAATAATATCAGTGTTCAAGAGAAATGAAAATTTAAAATTTTAAAAAAAAAAGAGAGAAAAGTTTATCTATGTTAAAGGCAAACATAATTTTCAAATACAATGATAAAAAATTCAACATCAATAACGAACAAAAATTTGGCAAAAGAGAATTCAAACATAATACTACCCAAAATATATAAAGAAGAAATAATAAACAACTTAAAAAAAATACTTTTTTCCTTCTATCCCTTTATCTATTATTCCTCTCTAATTAAAATTTTTATCGAACCCGCTATATTAACACAACTCGCTATCTTCAACTTAGCAAATAAACATTGCATTAAATTTAATCTTATCTTTATACAATTTACAAAAGGTTTTCTTTCCTAACACCCAAGAACACCTAAGGCCATCCAAAAAGCAAGTCATAGGAGTTTAACCAACTAAAGAATGTGTTTGATTCAAACAGCATGCAAGCAAGCCGAACACAAATAGCTTGATTCATAAAAAAACTGAACACAAACAAATTTTTGTTCGGTCATGTTCTACTCATTTTGACTAGAATTAATTAAATAATTAAATAAACAATATTTTTATATTATTATTATGTTGTATTAAAAAAATGTTAATTTTTATTACTTGTGAATAATTTAAGCTAATTTCGAGTAGAACACAATGAAGAAAAATGATTCTTGTAGCCGACCCCACGTAGTAGGATTAAGGCTTTGTTGTTGATGATGTTGTTGTTCGAGTAGAACACAAGCTGAAATTCTAATTGAGTCAAACACGAACATGTTATTCACAAGTCATTTTGAACACAAGAATATTAAAAAAAAATCAAATGAGTCAAACACTAAGCACTAGCTTGCTTAAGCTCGGCTCGTTTACACACCTAACAACAGCCACCAACCAATTAAAAAGCAAAGAAATAAGATTTAAAAAAAAAGAAAATTGATGACATATGGCCATTACCTTTCAGTGAAATTCACGACTTCCCTCTCTCTAGTTCATGATTTACCCAGTTCCCATTCACCGCATTTGAGTTCCTTTCTTCTGATTTGCAGTTCTGAATAACTCTCTTCAGTTATTGATTTTGCCTGCCTTCGAGTTCACACCCCCCTTCCCCTTCCCAACTTCAAGTCGGCCTAACCGGAATCCCCCTGCCAAACAAACCCTAGCCCTCAACTCCGACACCCCTCCTCCATTTACAGTCACTAGAAGCCTCTTCACATGCATTATCCGACATGTTGAAGCTTAAGGTCAATGCCGATCTTGGCATCATTGCTTCCGTTGATGTCCAAAAGGGCTAGTTTGACTCAATAAGTTTACAAAGTTTCTTTTCTTCTTATTCATGATTTATTCACCTATGAATGTCAATGATTCTATTGAGGATTATTCCCAGTTAATTTTGACAAAAATAAGGCTTTAACTCCGCATTTAACAGAAATACTAGTGCAATTGGCACTATTTTATTTTTTCTTTTGTATTTTAAATTCGATGTCTCATCATGTGGTTGGTATCGTACAAGTAGGCTTTCTGCTTGGATGTGGATGTTTACTAATTAATTGTCTCATTCATGCCTTACTTCTCCTATGATTATCAAGATTGAGGGAATTATTTCCAAGGAGGATGACAAATCTTTTCTTGATGTAGTTTCGCGTTGAGTGCTAGTACTAGTGCTAACTATCAAAATGAGCATGTTCAATGTGTCAAGGATTCTCTCAGACATTTGTAGTGCTAGTACTAGTGCTAGTAATAGTGTTCGATTTATTATTCTAAGTCCACAAGCATATGTAGAAAATGTGGAGCATTTAGAAATTTTATTATTTTGACTGCTGACATTTATAGTATAGGAAAGTTTTATTTTCTTTAACATTAAACGAGTTAATCTAAATTTTAATTCCAAAGTACTAAACCCCATTCACATCAAACTTATTTCCACCTTTCATCGCAAAAAGCCCTCCCATCATCCCCACATCACCTATCCACTACAACTATCCCTAAACGAAACTATGGTAACTGATAAGGGGCCTCCCCCTGATGACAATAAATTTTCTCATTTTATAATAGAATTTATGCTACTACATGCTAAGAATTCAGCACCTATCCACTAAGCTTGATCAAAAGTTTCTTTGTCGTCATTTAGAGGGGCATTTAACCGAAGAATATTGCGTATATAAGAAATCTAAAACTAGCCCTTAAAATTCTTACAAAATGAAAGTAAAATTTTTCTATAATATCTTATCTAAAATCCAATCTATCTTCTAAAAAATTGACCCGAACCATAAACTCTCATAAAGGTCAAGACTGAATTTTCGGTGCCCACACAAAAAAGCGAGACAAAAAAGAATAGAAGCCCACAAAAAGTGGGAGAGCAACAAAAGCTGGCAACACGACATCCCTTACATATAGAAGGGGCTGACAACAAAAGTGCTATCGGAGCGCAAGCACGTGAATAAACAGTTGCATATACCAAGAGGCAACAGTGTCAAAAATCAAGCAAGCAATCACAATGCACGCTGCTGAGGCAGCGTGTAAGAAAAAAAGTCAAGATGAGATGAAAAGTGCACAAACACGTGAGTGCGCACAACCATGCACAAAGTCACGAGTCCTGAAAGTGAGATGGTGGTAGAGCAGAGCAAGAGCAAGAGCGCGATGTAGAGGGTTTTTAAATCTTTTACCATGTACTCCAATTTTTACTAAACATATATAGGAAATTATAAATATAAAATGATATAAATTATTGAAGGGAATCTTACTGTCGCAACAGCTCCTGTATACTCCCTGGGAATAATCATCTTTAAGAGGAAAGGCCAAAGGATATGCTGCAAAATAAAAAGAGAATAAAGCCAAATTAAAATTAGCAAGTCACTTGAATAAGTACTTATAATGATTATAAATTAATCTATTTTACTAGCCTATACTTGTAAAACAGGGAAGTGGTAAGGCATCAACGAAGTAAAATTTGTTGAAGCCCTACCTCCGATTCTGGAATGGTAATAGCCAGTAAAATAAGTCCTTTTTCACAGATAGCTTTCAACTTGGCTGGACTTACAGCTGATATATTCGCCTGATCAAAAATCAACTTATAATAGACATGTTGCAGTTCTCAAAATTTGGCTAGAAATGACATGCACAGACCTCAATTTTTCTATAGAAAGGCTGAAAGGGATTTCCCTTCCAAACGATCTCATTAGCGGGCTTCAAATATTTCTCATCATCTGATATAGCACAATGGCGAACGAGATATTCGATAAAAAACTCTGCAGAACTCCCGCCAAAGTAACAATGCAAAGCCATAACAAGAAGTAACTGGCAATAAAATAGCAAAAGCATCAATTCAGAATAAAAAAAAAAAAAAAAGATAACCTTAGATATCCCGCTGCTTAATAAAACTATTGTTGCTTAGGTAGATGTCGAGTTCATGAAAAGCTAACCATTACCACAAGTTTCAATTTTAAGTGGTTGGCACACATAAACAATGTTATGGGCCAAAGCTGCTCTAGCCCAACATAAAAAAAGGGAAAGTTGCCTTAGTTGCTACTGCCAAAAATTGTGTATCTTGAAGCAGAGCTTTAAACGTCCATATGATGAAAACACCCTTGATAGAAAGTCATAGTACGCATAATGTACAGTCTTTAACTAAAACAGCCAACTGATCAATCATTGCAGCTCCTCAACACACTTCCAGCTGTGCAATCACCACTAACCTCTACAATGCCCCACCCCCTATCCCACCAGCACAAGCCCCAGTTACATCATTAATAAATCAATGAAAATTTCCTGAATCATTTCCTTTTTTATCATTTTAACAGCTTACAACCGTCTCAAACATTTCCATTTAAACTTTGCATTCATTATTAGTTTATCATTTTTTTACCGCCAATCAACCTTAGCCCTACTCATAACCCATCATACAGCATGTTCCATCAACAAAACCATAAAACTGCAGCTCAATCAGAAAACAAATATTACCAAATGCTTACCGAGCTTTTGAACCAGGGAATTAAACAGGAAAGTATTTTAAGACAGTAGCAAAAACAAAAAAAATCATAGAAACTGATGAGAAAAGTAAGATGGAACCTCAGCAAGTGCCTTTCGCACACCTAAACTCTGCCCAACTAAAAGTGATTTCACAACTTCAATAAGTAAATTCCTTTTAGCATGCCAAGCTTCCAATAACCTTGGTAAAAAAGAATACAAAAGTCAGAAACAAATGACGGATTCAAAACGATTTTAAAAAAATCTTATCCGTTGAATTGTGTATAATAAAACCTCGGCAAGAGATTTTTTATGGTACAGAGCGCTCCAACCACAAAATGTTCATCTTTTGCCTGACATTTCTGGAAGAAAATTATTAACATCAAATACTAAATTTAAAAAAGAAAGAATTAACTTTGCAATTGTAACCATGATAAAGTACATTCTAATTAGAAATGCTGTTGCTTCTATACACAAAATAGCACTCACACTCAGAAGGAAGGCATACAGATCCTCCGGATAAACTGAACCAATAACAAGAAAACAACGCTGAATCTCATTATATGCCTGACACACAAGAGAAAAAATGTATCATTAATTAGTTTACAGACTAACAGGAAAACTGAACAATTAGTATCCTAAACCTTTCAAAATAGACAAATTGGTGCCCAAGCATGGAGAAATTATAGCATTGCTCTGGAAAATAAACTAAAATCGCCCACTTGAATAGTCAAACAAAATGAACTTTCTAATCAAAAGATCAATGTAAAACATCAATATTAGTACTTCAAAAAACAATTAATTAGTAAAAGGAAAAAAACTTAATGATCATAGCAAGATGACTTCACTATGATAATACACGTCAGTCAAGGGGATACAATTTAATTCACAAAAAGAAAACACATGCTCATTATGAATAAAACCAACTGCATTCATCGCCAGAAAATGCCCAGTTGCAAGCTTAGAACTAATAATACAAGCTTTTCTCGTTTAAGAGCCCCTAAATTATTGAAACAAAAAGGGAACATTATAACTTGGTAAAGGAAAGACTAGAGTATGAACAACCCGCAAAACAACTAGAAGCCTCCTTTGATAGTTCAAAAAGACGCAAAACAACTAGAAGCCTCCTTTGATAGTTCAAAAAGATGTAAGCAAATCAAAAGGGGATATAAACATACACTGCCACAAACTACAATAGTAGATTATAATGTTGAGAAAACAGAAGCCTTCCTCTGACAGATGGGACATATTAAGGATAATTTAAAAAAAGAACCAATAACTCAAAAATAACAAGAGGATAAAAGATTGATCAAATGAAAGAAACGATGTCAAAATTTTATATGCCGTTAGTAAAGCTGACAGTTATTGATATAGGAATCACCTTTAGTCCTTTCGAAAAACCTGGATGATCATCATTGTTATTACCAATGTATGCCATAGGAAGAAGTGTAGACAAAAGGCTATTTAGATCCTGAAAAGACAACATTATGAAAATAGCAAACAAATAAAAGGTAGATAAAATCAAGCAAAAGAGTTTCAGCAGCCAATGGTAGGAGTATCATCAAAACTATGAATTCATGCTATGAAGTACAAATTTGTAAGAATGAAAGACACGTTAACAGGAAAAAAGATGCATAATTTATAAAAAAACAAGCTGCGGGTGGATTGTAAGGTATGCTCCTACTAATGAACGGAATGAACAATTCATGCATGCAACATGCCATCATAAGATATGACAACTAGTGATTTCCTATGTGCACTTAGGTGTGTAGTAATTTGCTGAAGGTGTGCTATCTTTATTTGGCCCTGCTAAGTGAGCCAGGAGGATTTTTTCTTGAAAACATATGAGAAGACTTTTGACATAATCGACAATAAACTGCACCAATACTCCCATAACTTTATAAATCTCAGTATTTATCCTACCTAGATCAAATCTTAATCTTTATTCATCATTTTCAAATTCAAGCGGCCTAAAATTTTATATCAGTCTATATTAAAACTATGATTTTATTCATTTATGGAACGAAATTTCTTGCTTAAAATTATCACTTCATAAGTTCGGCCCGCGTGGGATCACTATTATCTTTTTGTTTTCTATATTTTGTTTATATTCTATTCTGTTTATGTTTTAACTTTTGATCTAAATTAAAGCTTTTTTGGTTGTAGAAGTTGTTTTTAAAATACTCAAAACATCTTTTAGATGTTTTGACTATTTAAAACCAAGGTGATTTCTTCTATTAACATAAAACAAAAATATATAAAAATTATACTTACCAAGCATGTTTCATAAAATAAAAGTGATAAAAAACAGACTCAAAACACCTTTTAGGTGTTTTGTCTATTTAAAAACAAGGTGATTTCTTTTCATAACATAAAACAAAAACATACAAAAATTATACTTACTAAATATGTTTTCAAAAATAAAAGTGACATAAAATGGGCCCTTCATTATCAGCCTTCATATTTCATTCTTAACAAAGATCCTATTATCATAGCCCAAAATACATTACCAACTTTTTTAATTTTTAAATCAGCTATTTCAAATATCCCATGTTATTTAGATAAGAGAGTCAAATTGAATTTTTTAAGTTAACCCAAACTTAATGTAAGTTAAAACCATTCTATCAAAAATTTATAAAATTCCTAATAAAATTTATTTCAATTATTCCATCAACTTGAACCAATGTCACAACAGCCTCTATCAAACAGCCATAACTCCTACATTACGCTAAATAGCGATTTTAACATGATTTTACCAAACATTCATCTGTTTTACTTGATAACACAGCAAAAGACAACACAAGACAGAAGTGCCAAAAGAAACCGAAGATGTAGGAAGTTCTAAATCTAAAAACATAAAAAGTGATACAACCTAGCATGCCCTGTATAACTCATATATAACTGTTCCGTATATAAACAAATAGGAAAATAAAAATAGTTTTTCTAACCACCTCAAAATCAAGCAGAGGAGGACCATTTTCTGCATAGTTTTTCCCACCTCAAAATCAAGCAGAGGAGGACCATTTTCTGACAATAGGCAGGCATTAAGAAAATTATGTAGACTGCATGAGGCAAGAAATGCCATCTCTAGATCTTTACGATACCTGAGACAGAAGAAAAAAATAATAGCCTGTTTTTTTATATTGATGTATCATTCAAAAGATAAAAATAATTTTATGAAAAAAAAAATGGATGGCTCAAATTCTCATCTAGTTACCCAAAATGGTATGCTTACAAGTCCAATATTGTTGGAACAAGTTTTGGTAATGCTGCCTTTAGTTGAGATCTTGAGATGAGACCAACCATTTGCCCTAAGGCCTCTACAGCGGATAGGCGCACCTGTAAACAAAAATATTTAATGATTGAAATAAGGACATTATGTTGTCGGCTTTTATCTGATCCAGCGCTTCTGCCTGTATTTGTGTTTGCAAAGGGTGGATTGAGCAAGCACTAAGGCGCTGTACAAAGAAGTGCGTGAATTGCAGTCTAATATTGAATATTAAAGAAATACAAAAAAGAAAGGTTAATTAATGGATAAAGATGAAAAAGGCTTAGTTGGCATCCGACAACTAAAAGAAACTATTGCATCTGGTAATGCAATATTTTGCTTGATATGTATAAGTTCCATCAAGTGTTTAAATTGTCACGCAATTGTTGGACACTCAATGATACCGGAATTTAATGAACACCCAATGGAAGTCAAATATTATAATTGAATTCAAATTTGAAATTACAACAATGCGGAAATATGAAATTGTAACAAAACAACACATAACGCTGGAGGGTTGGATCAACACTAAAGGGTTGGATCTAAGGTGGAGTTGGTGTCAGCTAGGGATTTGGACCTCCGGGGAGATGGCAAGAGGGTCGGCTAGCACACTAGAGGGTGGCGGCGGCACTGGGGGAAAGTGGCGGTGGCAGGGGGATGGCTGAGCAGCAAGGACATCGTGAGGGTGTTGTCCTGAGGTGTGGCAGCAAGGTTGGATGGGAAAAAAGCATGACTTGTTTTATGGGTGGCGGCAGCAATGGGGGAGTGACGAGTGTGAAGGGGTTTATGCAAGAAAGGATGGAAAGGATAGAAAAAGGATAAACACCATCTTGAGACCAAAATTCAACCAAAACACCACTTAGAACCCCAAGATATAACCTGTGAAGGGAAAACAAACGATGATGGCTGCTCCGAAACAAAACACAGCAAATCATAAACCCTAAACACTTGATTGGGAGACAATTCAAGCCTTAGAGGGCCAGTCGAACCCTCAGAAGCCTAGACCAAACTATTCAAGGTGCGCCAGAAGCAAATCACTAATTCAGGTGTCCTAAGCGCAAAAACCCCGTGTTAGTCTCGCTCGATTCGGGAAGCTTTGACCACATCCGTCGAAGCTAGAATGTTCAGTCCATCATGAGGTTGGATCGGCCCCTCCTTTCCATTGGGAGGAAATTATTCCCCACCTTCCTGTCCTCGTTTCCCGCCTACTCATCTATTTATATGTGTTTTTATGTTGTAGGGCTTAGCTTATGTTGTTTTCTTATTTCAGTTTGTGAGGGCAGCCGTCAGCGCCCTATTTTCCCCTTCGAGAAATGTATTTGTTGGTCCCCAGTGATGATTTATCTTCTTCGACGTCCTCAACCTCCTCTCCTTGCCACTTCCTAGTTTTCCTTGCACCCCCATGCTCCCAGCTGCCTATTGCCTTTTTCGCAGCTTCTCACATCCACCCGCCAGTTCCGAACCTTGCCCTTGCTGCCAGCACCTTTTCCCGCATCCAACAGCCAATTCCAAGCCTGCTCTTTCCGCCAGTTTCCTACCCACCTTCGACTACAACAACACTTTCTATCTACCCCACCCTGTCATATCTGTAACGCCCCTTTTCCTTCCTACTGCAACCCAAACACCCCTCCTTCCTGCTACAGCCTAAAACCTTCCTCCAACCCACCTGGCCACAGTAACCCCCATTTCAACTCAAGTCTGTTGTCATAGACCCATATTCAATCCTCCTATTCCTGTCGCTACCCTCAACCTACCCTTCAGCTGCTACCCAACCTCCAAATGCACTTTTCCCCAGTCGACCAGCCACCACCACCCTTCACGAGTTCCCCAGGTGTCATTTTTATGGTGGTTATCGTTTATTTCCTATTTTTGAAAAGACTTTGTTGTAAGCTTTAAATTTTAGCAATAAAATTCTTGTTTTCATTATAGTTTGAGTTAACTCCAATATCATTTGATATAAGAGCTAGTCTAACCGTAGTTCTATCCTAAGGTTTCCTAGCATCCTACAAAACTCAAATATTTTCTTTCCTACTGTCAAATACCCTTTCCACTACCACATATCCCTAACCCTAATTTCCCCCACCTGATTTTCGAAATCAGCAACCTTAAACTATTTTTTTATCCTCTCACTGCCCAACCCTAAACTCTAACCATACAACTGAGGAGATAGATGCCCAAGCCTACCCAGAAAGAGAGACAACGAGAGATCTGTCAACTTCAGTGAAGGCTTGCGGATATTGAGAATGAAATCCAATAGTAGGTTCCTCTTAATCGTGATCAAGAGCATCAAAGGAGAAAACGAGAGAATTTGAAGATTAAGTAGGAGACACGGTACTAGTTCCTATCAACTTACTACAGACAGAAGGTGCAGACTCTAGCTTCAGAAGTGGAAAGTTCATGTCACCGAGCAACCCCCACATCTTACAACCAAAGTTCAACATCAGCATCTTATAGCCAGAGGACACCCAGAAGAACACCCAAGACGACCCCGTCAGAGGGCGAATTGAATCAGAGTGGTGAGCAGGTGAAACTAATTTGCATCTCTAAATTTGTCACAGTCAGGAAGTGTTGCAAATGCCCCGAATTTGAGCATGTTGAATCAGAATGTAAAATTAGGGTTAAACTGCTTCACCGAGCAGAGCATCATTGAAATTTTGGGTAATGACACCAAAAACACTGAATTCAGTGAGGAAATAAATGAGTCTCAGCTTCCAAGTGAAGAGGTAAACGGTGATCCAGAAGAATTTACAGAATTCATAGAGGATTCTCGATTATCAGCCAACGAGAAAGAGTCACCAACAATTTTAGTTAACGCTGAGATAAAGGTTTCAGCTGAGACAACAGCAGTCGTTCTGGAAGATAGTGACCTCGATGTAATGGGCATTCAAGCATGAAATTGTGGTGCCTTGAGTCACAGTTTTGTTGACGATGAGATGAGCATCAGCAAAGCTGACCTTGGATGCCCCAAAGGATCATGATTTGGAGAAGCACACATCAAATACAGGGCCGGTACAAATAAGAGAAATGCAGATTTTTCAGATGTATAGACACATTCCAGAGATATCCCTGTAGATGGAGGTCCAGCATGTCAGAAGTGAGGTCATTTTGTGCCTTGTTAGGAATATTATGTGGAGTTAATCGGAGGTTATTTTCAGTTCAGCTTGGTACCCCCCATCACATGGTCAAACGGTAAAGATAAACCCCAGCTTGGTAATGAGTCTGAGGAGCTTGATAGTGATGGAAATTCTTCAATGGGATCCAAGTCCTACCGATGAAGAAGAGCTCCCTCCTGAGCTAGTGAGAGGTTTCACCCCAGAGTGGATTTCTACTCATAATAATTTATCAGTTACATCATATCGAGTACGAGGAGGGGAAGAAGCATGTTACAACTAGGATGGTGCGATACCTGATTCGTGTGAATACTCGTCTATCTACAGTTCCAGTTCAGGTTGTGTCAAAGGTGGACTGATATTTTTTCTAACGGAATGTGCTTTGGAACAACGTCTACTTGATCGACGTGCCAGAGGACATGAGTCCTGCGACGAGGAGTCAGAAGCTTCGACAAATGAAGTCGAAGCTCCCCAACCACGAGAGACTGGTGCGGGCTTGAGAATGAATAGGGCCCAACCAGTTCAACAGGAGAAGGTTCAGACCAGCAGGAGGCTAGACAGGCCCCTCCCTCTTTTCATCTCCCCCTTCCTATTTTTGTTTCTCACCTACTCCTGTTCTATTCATATGTGTTTTTATGCCTTAGGATTTTTATGTTATTTTTTTATTTCAGTTTGTGAGGACAGCCGTCGGCGTCCTACTTTCCCCTTCGAGGGTTGTATCTGATGGTTAGAGTGGTGCTCAGGCCATATCCTATCCCCGGTGGTGATTTATCTTCTCTGATGTCCACCTCCACCTCCACTCATTGTTGCTTGTTGGTTTTCCCTGCAACCCCATGCTCTCAGCCGCCAACTACCTTTTCCGCAGCTTCCCGCATTCAACCTCCAGTTCCAGACCTTGCCCTTGTTGATGGCAGCTTCCCGCATCCAGCCACCAATTCCAGACCTTCTCTTTGCCGCCAGCTTCCTGCCAGCCTCCAACCACAACAACGCTTCCTATCTTCCCCCTCCTTGCTATACCTGTAACGCCCGTCCTCCTTCCTACGACAACCCCAAATGCCTCCTCCTTCCCACGACAACCCCAAATGCCTCCTCCTTCCCACGACAACCCCAAATGCCCTCCTCCTTCCTACTACAGCCCAAACACCCCTCCTCCTTCCTGCTACAACCAAAAATCCTCCTCCAACCCTCTGACCCTTACAGCAACCCCCATTCCAACTCAAGCCCTCCTATTTATGCTGCCACCCTCTAATTACCCTCCCGCTACTGCCCAACCCCCATATGCACTCTTCCCATGCCAGCTAGCCACCACCCATCCCTTTGCCAGCGCCGCAGGATATCCTTTTTATGTTTGTCGTCATTTATTACTTATTTTTGAAGAGTCTTCATTGTAAGCTTTGAATTTTAGCAATAACATTCCTGTTTTCATTGTGGCTTGGGTTAACTCCAGTAACAGTCTCCTCATGGTCTGGAGTCATGTCAGCCACGTTGAAGGTGGCGAAGCTGTTGGGATTGGAGAGTCTTCCATTGCATCTCTAGAAGCACATGAATTCCATTGTCGGATGCACTACACACAACACTTGAGAAGGTTTCCTGAATTGCGAGTAACCATCTCTATCTATCTAACCATATGTGGGCATATTGTTGAACTGAATTGAAACTTCGTGCTAAGCATACTTCGTAGTCCTCCCAAAATAGCTTAAGTTTGCCTCATTCCACTCTAAAGTGAAGACAGACTAAACCTCTCTTGTTGATGGCAACCCTGGCGGTAATGGTTAGGATATCTTAAAACTCTCACTATAGTGTCTGCTCTATGTCTGATATGGTTGTTCTGTCTCACTACCCTCTAACATCACTAAAACAAATCCTACTAGCACCTCTTCAATGGCAAGAGTACCTATAAGCTCAAACTCAGCAGAAAGTAGAAGAACTATACGCTTATTCATCCTTGATAAATGAATAAT